AGGCTGGGCTGAGTGGCCACCGACGCTGGGCCGAGGTTTCAGCGAGGCTGGGCCTAGGCGTCACCGAGGCCTGGCCGAGGCGTCACCGAGGCTGGACCGCAGAAGACCGCGGCGTCAGCACCACCCGAACCCAACGAAAAACAGATCTGGTGCAGGAGATTTGAAATGCTAGCTGTTTGTGGACCACAGGTGTTGCCACGGACAGAGGGGCTGGGGAGGGGGACAGCAGGGCAAGCTGCTACCAGCCTGAACAGGGCGTTCACCCAATACAGGGAAAATTATGCTGGGCTCGCGTTTTTGCGGCTACAAACGCTTCACCCCGTTTTCCAAGCAATACTTTGTCCAACGTCCCTGGTGACCGCTTCGATTCGGAACGCTGGAAAATGTTCGCGCCGATTGAGGAGACGGTGACGCGCGTCGAACCGCCAAACCTCTCCCGCCACTCACGGCGGATTCCAAAGCTCTGCCAGAAGCCCTGGCCGCCTGGCGTACCCCGGACTTACCCCTGGTGCCGCCGTCTGCGACAGCCGAGGCCGGCACGTCCGGTCGGGCCTGGGCGTCGGTCACGCTGTGCCGGTCCTGACCGCTAGTGCGGTCCGGTCCAGGCCTGGACGTCGGTCGCGCTGTGCCGGTTCTGACCGCTCTTGCGGTCCGGTCCGGGCCTGGGCGTCGGCCATGCTGTGTCGGTCCTGACCGCTCTTGCGGTCCGGTCCGGGCCTGGGCGTCGGCCATGCTGTGTCGGTCCTGACCGCTCGTGCGGTCCGGTCCAGGCCTGGACCTCGGTCACGCTGTGCCCGTCCTGACCGTTCGTGCGGTCCGGTCCAGGCCTGGGCGTCGGTCATGCTGTGTCGGTCCTGACCGCTCGTGCGGTCCGGTCCAGACCTGGGCGTCGGTCATGCTGTGTCGGTCCTGACCGCTCGTGCGGTCCGGTCCAGACCTGGGCGTCGGTCATGCTGTGCCGGTCCTGACCGCTCGTGCGGTCGTATCCAGGCCTGGGCGTCGGCCATGCTGTGTCGGTCCTGACCGCTCGTGCGGTCGTATCCAGGCCTGGGCGTCGGTTATGCTGTGCCGGTCCTGACCGCTCGTGTGGTCCGGTCCAGGCCTGGGCGTCGGTTATGCTGTGCCGGTCCTGACCGCTCGTGTGGTCCGGTCCAGGCCTGGGCGTCGGCCATGCTGTGCCGGTCCTGACCGCTCGTGCGGTCGTATCCAGGCCTGGGCGTCATCCGTCACCGGGTGACGCGGAGCCAGCGCGGCTAATGGTGGCGCCGCGCCGCCGCCTCCATTACGGCCGCTGGCGGGCACAGCGCAGGGGGTCACCCACCGGCAGCCTCGCAGCCCACCCGACAATGGCAGGGCGACGGGGTGATGCGTGCTGCCCCTGTTGTAAGCGACGCCGTAGGGTCACTCGCTGTATTAGGGGCACCACGAGGTTACGCGTGCTCTGCTCTACCAAATGCGTTCCAGTTAGTTGCCGAACCAGGACCGCCGCTGACACAGGCATTACGCTGCCCTTTGTGCCGACGTGATCTGTTGCGCGCGCTGGTGGCTGCGGGTCCCACCACCCAGCTGCCAGGCATCACTCAGCGACCCGGCCGCTCCCATTGTCATTTATATCTCCCCAACAAAGGTGCATTAACATTTCCATTTCCCCTACGTCTGTTTCCTCTCTTTTGCTGGCTGTCGCTGCAGCGCCGCTCTCCCGCCGTATCTACATTATGCCCTAATTGCCTTCCGCGCTGTGGGCCCTGCAGAAATTCTCTGTACCCAAGTGTGTGTGTGTGTGTGTGAGTTCACTGGGCTAATACGCGCGTCCAGAGCTGCGACAAGGCGGGCAATAGGACATTATTTGCCTAGTTTTGGCGTTCGCCCACAACTGGCAAGTCGACGACCATCTGGCGAAAGCGCGTGTTAGACGCTGACAAGAGCCTTCCTCTGCTGAAGGGCTGCGGATGTTGGGCAAACCCGACCGCCGCGTGAGAGCGCTCTGTCTCGGCGGTGCCCTCTGGCGGCCATCGGCCGGTCGCGGCAGCCAAATATCCGGCTCCCGACTCGTCGGAATCCGGAAAGCCACCTCGCTGGATCCGCCTGAATAAATAATGCGGCACAATGGTCGCATATTCAACACCGATCGCGTCAAATGCAGCCATTCTCTTTCTCCCGAGGCGCCGGCGGGGAATTACCGCCGGGCCTATTCACCGCCCCCCCCCCCCCCCCCGGGCTCTGATCGATTTTCGGAGCGAGTCCATAATGAGTGCCAGGCCCGACCGGCGGCCGGGGCGGGACGGGACGGAGCCTGAGCCGGGTGGGACCGCGGCTCCTACCGGGCGCTGATCTGTTGCTGGGGCGGGACCGCGAGGCGCGGCTCCCACCGGGCACTGGTCTGCTGCTGGGGCGGGACTGCGAGGCGCGGCAGCCCCCCCCCCCAAATATTCGTGCTCGTTGGACCGATGAAACAATATTTTAACATAATGAGCGTTGCCCGAGGGGAAGAGGTTGAAGAGGGAGGTTGTTTTTAAGTTGTGTTTACAGGGCTGCGTTAAGATTTGTTGATTAAGAACCCTCCAAACTATTAAGTTATTCTGAATCCTTCGGGGAACACATTGCGGTTCTTGTCTTAGGTAGATGGGAAGTTGACGCTGGAGCTCTAAACGGAAAGGCATACCAGGCACCTCTCTCATTCAATGGGTCGACGCTTGTCAAGAACGCAGCAAATGATGCAGACAAACATACCAAAGGCATACCACTAAGTGATAGCACGTCGTAAATAGAGGTGAACATTCGGTTTAGGAATATTAAAATGTTCGCAGGAATGTTAGGATTTAGCAAGGACTTGGAAACAAATATCAGAGTTTGGATATTCCGCATGTTGTTAAAACATTTGCGAGGAACCCTATACATGTGAGTAAGATAGTACTGCTAGCCCTATTCTTCGCAGAATAACCAGGAAAATAGATGTATTATTACATATCAGCTACATGCCTTTATCGTAACGAATGTAAACATTATATTTAAAACTGAAAATCGCCAGCTTATCCCACTTGATTTTTCAGTTTTTTTTACAGCAATCATCAGTCCTTACAAGTCATGGACATACAGGGGATTGCACAAGGAGCAATGGCCAGCCACACATCAACACAATGCACATCCAAGTATCGGTGCACACATATTTTGCAAGCATTTTAATCCTTAGCTGGATAAAAACGGTATCGTATCAATGGCTGGCAATCGCTTCCTGTACAATCCCTTGAATGTTGATAAATTGTGCAAACTGTAGCTCGCTGTTTTTAGAGAAAAAACTGAAAGAATAGTGAGATCAGCATGTACCTTTGAATTTTGAAACATGTAACCGAAATATTAATATATCTATCTCTTCTCTCTCCAGATTATTCTAAGAGGAGGAAGGCTAGCAGTGATGTCTTACCTATATCATTTGATAGTCTTGAAGGGAGTGTCCCACCTTTTGGACATATTTCAAAAACGCACTCTCTTGAAACCTCAAAGCCAGTTAGTCTGATAATAGCACTGGGTAGTGCCACCGTAGCACCATCAAGACATAATAAAGATGTGGATCTTATTTATTGTTGAGCCCAAGTTTCGCTGTCAACGCTTTGTTACGGTACTACACTTCTTCCCTGCATTTGTCGCGACCGCCGTCATCGTGGCAACCGCCGCGGTGCGAATGAAACATCGCTTCTACTGGCTCGGCGGGTGGCAAGGACCTGTTACGGAGGAGCGCATCGTTCGAAGTTTGGACCAGTGCGTCCCTATAGACCATGTGATGCTCTCATGAACAACGCCAAGATGCTGGTACCCTGCTGGAGTAATATATCGTTGGCGAACACGGCCATGGGAGCGGACCGAGTGGTCAGCGTTGAAATACTCTGGTGGGACTACGCAGAAATCTAGAAAAGCATTTGGTACCATACTGGTCATGCGTATAGACTGAGCAAAGCCAACGTCCAATACGGTAAGTAAGTAACACGGAAACACGAACTCGAGTCAATAGAATCCACACGCAGCGTTTATAATTTGCCGTGTTTGTGTCAGTGTTTGCGTTGAGCGACGCGTGCAGAGATCCCACATCGGGGCGGGAGACGCGTGTGTCAGCGTCCTGATCCTCCAGACACCAAGACATCGAGTCCGAGAATCCCGGACAGCGTGATATCGCAGTTCATCATGGCCGCCCGCCGCTAACCCTATCGAGCGCTTGACGGTTGCACGCGCGAGCCACCGACCAATCAGGGCGTGCGCTGTTGGCGTTGATCGACGCCCATTGGTGGTCAGCTGGTCAGCCGCAGCTCGCTGCGATAGCCGCCAGCCATGAAGTCGCCGTCGCGACTTGCCGCTGATGGCTACGTTGGTCCGTGACGCCCGTGCTTCCTGACATTATCGGTGCACCGCAAATGATTCGGGGACAAACGCGTTTTATTTGGGTCGCCTGGTCAAAACAGCGTGCAGATGCTTATTCTGTGCTAATGTCAAAATAAACTTGGGTTAGGTGATTGCTCGGAGCGCGCGCGTGGTGCCATATTGCCCCCGCTGTGTCACGTGGTCATGTGAGCTGACGTGTGGCGTCGGTGTGCCGTCAGGTCGGGCCCGCCGTCGGTTCCGATGAAGGAGGAGCTGTCGGAGGCGGGCGGCAGCGGCGCGGCGCCGGCCCTCTCGCAGCTGGCCGAGCTGGGCCTGCTGCCGCCGCTGCCGGCCGGCCAGCTGGGCCTGCTGGGCCAGCCGGGCGGCCTGCTGACGCCAGCCAGTCTGCAGGCGGCGCTGATGGCCGGCCTGGCCGCCCAGCAGGCCAGCCAGATGCAGTACCAGCGCGCGCTACTCGGCCCGTCCGCCAGCTCACTCCTCGGCCTGCACCAGCACGAGGCGCTGCTGGCCTGGTCCAAGATGGCGGCCGGCGCCGCCGAGCCGCCGCGGCCGGCCAAGCCGGAGCCGGCCGGGCTTTCGCGGCCGCCAGAGTCGGGCCCGCCGCGGCTCGGCGCCGCCGCCAACGGCTCGCCAGCGCGCTCGGACAGCTCGCCGCCGGCCAGACGGCCGCCCGACAAGAAGGCGTCCGTCCGAGACAAGGTGTTCGTCTGTCAGGTGTGCAACCGCAGCTTCGGCTACAAGCACGTGCTGCAGAACCACGAGCGTACGCACACGGGCGAGAAACCGTTCGAGTGCAAGGAGTGTCACAAGCGCTTCACGCGCGACCACCACCTCAAGACGCACATGCGCCTGCACACGGGCGAGAAGCCGTACCACTGTGTGCACTGCGACCGCCAGTTCGTGCAGGTGGCCAACTTGCGCCGCCACCTGCGTGTGCACACTGGCGAGCGGCCCTACTCCTGCGACGTGTGCAAGTCCAAGTTCTCCGACAGCAACCAGCTGAAGGCGCACACGCTCATCCACAACGGCGAGAAGCCGTTCCAGTGCGTCGAGTGCCTGGGCTCGTTCCGGCGTCGCCACCACCTGGTGCATCACAAGTGCCCGGCGCGTGACGCCGCTGTACCGCCGCCGGACGAGGCGCCGGACGAGCCGGCTGACCGTTCGCCGTTCGGCGCCGACTCGTCCGAGACGCGCTCCGAGGCGAGCAGCGGCGAGCGCCACGAGCAGGTGCGCCGGCGCGTGCGCAAGGCGAGCGAGACGCGCCGCGTGGTGCGGCCGCCGCCGCCGCTGGCGCCCTGCCGGCCGCCGCCGGCCGCGCCCGAGCAGACAGAGCCGGAGGACCTGAGCCTCTCCGGCGGCCGGTGGAGTCCGGCGGCGCGCCGGCCGCCGTCCGACTGGCAGCAGGACCTGAGCGTGTCATCCTCCAGGTGGGACCTGGCGTCGACCGAGCCTCGCCAGCCGGCGCGCGAGGAGCCAGCGCCGGCCGGCCCGCGCTGGGGTGCGGCGCTGGCCGAGTACGGGTACCATGAGCGGCGCCAGGAGGTGGAGCTGAGCGCAGCCGTTTCGCGGAGCAGCCCCGTGTCGTTCCTGGCGTCGCCGTACCGCCGGCAGAACGAGGCGAGCGTGCTGGCGCCGCGCTTCCACCTGGCGTCGGCTCTGATGGCGGAGCGACCAGAGCCGGGGCGTAACGGCCTGCGGCTGGCGGCTCCCTGGTTCGGCCTGACGCCGTTCTTCCGCGGCCACCGGCAGTCCGCCCAGGAGGAGGAGGAGGAGGTGGGCGACAAGGAGGAGCAGGAAGAGGAGGAGAAGGATGGCCTCGTCGCGGCCTTGCGCCGCAGCCCGGCGTCGAACGGCCGGCCCGAGCTGGCGGCGCAGGAGGAACCGCGCGCGCAGCCGGCGCTCGCGGAGGACGGGGAGCGGGCCGTCTCAGCGGCGCGCTGGAGCCCTGGCTTCGGCCGAGTCCCGCCCCGGGACGGCGGCGAGGAGGAGGACCCGAGCGTCGCGCCGCCGCGGAGGAGCTCCGCGTCTACTGACGGCCGCGATCAGACGAACGGGGAGCTCCGAGAGGAAGAGGAGGGGGAGGGGGAGGACGCGGACAAGGGGTGGGAGGGGGAGGGGCGTTCGGCGAGCGCCGACACCAGCGCGGCAGCCGGCCCGCCGGCCGACTCACCGCCCGGCTGAGAAGAGGCCGCGCACAAGACAACCAGTCGCTTACTACGGGTATTTTGCGTTGCCAGGGGCGTATTCCTAGATTCCTCATCATATGGCGCGGCTCGGTTGGGCCGGGCCGTTTTTAGCGCGAAAATGAGCTTTGTGGCGTGTAAAAGCCGGCGGCGGCTATGGGAAGGGAGCGGCCGTCTGAGGTGGTTCTCGTCGACCTGCCCGATGTGAGGGTGCCCGTCAGACCAGACTTGCCTCCGCGACGGATACCGGGCCCTCTGGTGGAGCAGCGGACTCCCTTGGGCCCTCACCGCACGGCTCCCTTGAGGGTCAGTGAGAGAGTGTGTGTGTGTGTGTGTGTGTGAGTGTGTGAGTGAGTGTGTGGGGAGGGGTAGGGGAGGGTGGACCGGAGCGCAGGTGGCCTGCCACTCACAATTATCCATTACCGGGTGCCAGCGGTCCGCCGGCCGGCGCAGCGCCCATCTGGAGCTCGTCCCTTCCCGCCCGTGCTCTTCCCCGACCCCACGGCGCTCTGCCAGCGCTCCTCAGACTCTGACTGTCAGACTCGCAGACTCCCGCCTCTGCCTCCCATTCGATCTCGCACACCAGACAACCTGCCCGCGTTCCCTGGCGCGACACATTCGCTCGGTTTTCGGCGGCCGAGCGCGGGAGGCTGACCTTTCGCTGTCGCCGGGTGGCACCCCCCCCCCCCCCCCCCCCCGAGCGGAGGCTGCTCTCCCTCCCCGGAGCGCAGCTGCTCTGCCTGCCCGGCTGCGCGCGCGCTTGCGTCCTGGGGCCGCCCCCGGCGCTATCTGGCGCCGGAACACACAGGTCACCGCGAGCGACCCACTGCGGCCGGCGGCCGATAGCCGTGCCGGCCGGAGCGAGCGCGTCCGGCGCCGGCGGTCGTCCCAGCCAGCGGCCGGCTGAGGCGGGCTGCAGCGGAGGCGGCTCCTCCCTTCTCACGGGCCGGTAAACGGCATCGAACGCGTTAGGTTTGGGCTGTCAAACGGCATCGATGCCGATGCGATGAAGGTAAAGATGCCTGTAGTCGGTGCACGGCGCAAGGTTGGGACACAGTTGCGTTAATGTTCTACACGTTGCGGACTATCACTGGCGGTAAGTTTTAAGAATTCGAAAATTTTGCACATGCAAAGGCCGAATCTGTCTGTGCACAGCGGACCCCTTCGGCTAAGGCGCCGGGCATAGACGTTTGTCGCTACACCATGTCTCAGTACTGAGGCAGGGCCTAAGCAACGTTCCCCGTAATTCCCCCATTCTCACTGGGCGCGATCCCTCCGGAATTTTACCCCGCTCCAGGAGGAGCCTTCCACACAGAACAGCGATACCCTTTCTCCGACTCCAGCCTATCCTGAATCCCGGCAAACACCGGCCGACTTGACCCCCACCTCCCACCTCACCCCCTCCCCCTCCCTCGGCCGCCGTCTTTTGCAGGCGCCGGCGCGCGCCTCAACAGACTTCCTCCGCCGGCCAGCGGCACCCCTCTCGGTAGCGGCGCTGACCTGTCTCAAGACAGGCGCCGGCGGCCGGCGCGGCCGTTGACCCCGCGGCCCGCTTGGCGCCTGCGCCTCAGGATCGGGAGCGCACGCACATTCTCACGCAGACGCGCGGCGCCAGCCAGCCTTGGGCGGCGGCGCGGCGCGCCGGTCGTCGACCCTGCGCTATTTCGGGCCGGCCGGCGGCGCTGTGCGTGCCGCGGTGCGTGTGCCGCCCGGAAGGAGGCCGGTCAGACGCGGCGGGCCGGGCCTCCTCCGCCGGACGGCGTCACCTGGCGCCGTCAGCCCCGCCGTCCGGCCGACGGCCGGCGTCCAATCGGTCGAGCGCGGACGCGTTTTCAAATTTTCGGGGGTCCAACTGGAAATATTCAGAGAGGGCGACGTCTGGAATCTTTCGCACCGGTTTCGTCTCCGAAGAGTTCGGTTTATTGGTTTTGTTTGGAATATGCGCAGCAAGCACAGCTGAGCTCTGACGAGCGAGCCTGGAGAGCGCCGCCATCACCTGCCGCCCGGTGTCATCTGAGAGCTGCGCTGAGCGCTGACCCAGATGTCATCTGAGAACTGCTCTGAACGCTTTCTCAGACGTCATCTGAGAGTTGCTCTGAGCGCTGACCCAGATGTCGTCTGAGAGCTGCGCTGAGCGCTGACCCAGATGTCATCTGAGAACTGCTCTGAGCGCTATCTCAGACGTCATCTGAGAGCTGCTCTGAGCGCTGACCCAGATGTCCGCCGGTCACCGGTCACGTGGTTGTCCGTGTTGATAGGACGGGCTCGCCGCCTTCCGGCGCGGCTGCAGCTCTGTGCTCGGCGCCGGGACAGGACTCGGTGACCTCAGTAGCCTCCGTGAAAGGAACGCTGGAACGTCCCTGGTCCGTCCTGAGTGTGACCAGTCGTTAGCAAGTTCTCGAGTCGCTCACAACGGCACCTGCGACCTGGGAGGGGAGAGCACCGAGAGCACGCTCCCGGCACCTACCAGCGGTCGGCCGCGGCAGAACATTCTGACCTGTTTCGTTGCCTTCAGACCATAACGAACCCGGTCCACCTAACGAGCTCCGTGCTCCCAACACTCGTCCCTTCCTTCTACAAACAGCCGTCCGACCCAGAAGCCATCTATCATCCGGAAACGCCTGACGTCGCGGTTCAACCGCGAGCCGCAGTCGAACCCACGGGCGGCCGAAGGTCGCGCGGTCCGGCAGCCACTCAAGGCCGGCGCGTGCGGCGGCCGTGCGCCCCTGGCTCGTCCGGTCGCCGCGCAGGGGTACGCAACCCGACCCGGCCCGGCCGAAACCGGAACCGGGCTGTAATGCCGACGCGCGCCGCTGCGGTCTGTGCTGCTAGCAGGGCAGTCTGACTGTGATCGTCCACTCTTCTCGTAGTCGGGGTGGCTGCCGGTAGGTACCCGCTGTCCGCTCGGTTCGTTCCTCAAGGGACGCGGGTCAACCGCCCCCTCCCCTTGCCTCTGTTTTGTCAGGTCCTTCCGGCTGATCTGCCGCCTGGGTCTGTCCCAGAAGTCGGTCGGCCCCGCTTTGTGCGCCCACCAGGCACGCCTCCCGCTGAAAGGGTGTCCATCCTCCCCGTCGGGGTGAACGACCTCTCCTCGGTCGCCATCCGACGTCGAGACGGTCGTAAAGCCGCGCCTCAGCCGGGAACGGGTTGGCGCAGGGCACCGTTAGCCTTTGACCACCTCTGATGGCTGAGCCAATGGGAGCAGCCGGCGAAAGGGGGACGGCTCCGGCCGGCCAATGGCATGCGGCGGGGAGAGGGTTGGCGCGGCCGGTGTCCAGCCGCGCGACGTCAGCTGAGCTTCTATCGCCGGCACGCCATCATCTGAGCTGCCATCGCCGCGCGACGTCAGCTGAGCTTCTATCGCCGACGCGCGGAAGCTGGGGCGGCCCGGAGCCGGGCGGCGCTGGCGGCAGCGTGTGACAACTGCGGCTCGCCAGCGATGTCCTCGCGGCGCGACGACCCGCCGTGCAGCCCGGCGCCTGTCACCACAGGCCGCTGGGAGAGCGCGCTGCCGTCATCTGCATACAGACGCCGGGAAGGGGAGCGCCGCGGCCGGCGAGGGGCGCTACACACACACATACATACACAGAAAATCAATCCCGGCGCCGACTGGGGTAGTGAGAGGGCATTGGATGCCGCGCGGCTGGCGAGCCCGGCCGACGCACGAGCGCCGGAAGAGGGGAGCCGGCTATCTGCCGCGGCGCCACGGTGTGCGGGCGGGCGGGGGAGGGGCAGGCCCGGAGGCCAGGCCGATGAACTGCGATCAGTCGCGCCACCCTCGCCAAACGCCGGCCGGAACACCCCGAGCGGAAATGTGCGTCAGCGGCCCCGCGAACGCCGCGATTAACTCCTTTCGGCCGATGTCTCTTCTATAATCGGCCGCAAATGATTTACAACTAGCCGTCGAAACCGGGCATTGGCTGTCACCCTGTGATTAGTCGGCCATTAGTCGGCTATGCCGTTAACCCTACGCCGGAAGGGAGCGATTTCTCGGCGGGCCGTCGGCCGGGTGACGTCGACGAGTATGAATGCCGGTCCGATTATGTCTGTGGCAGATCGATACGTTGTCGGCCTCTGCCCCGGGCCATTGTGTTGGGAACCTCGGGCCGCTGGACGCCGGACCCTGCGGGCCACGCCCCCTCCCCACCCCTCTTGCCCCCCTCCCAGGGTCATGCCCCGCTAGGGTGAGCCAGGTGACGCAGCCTGAGTGCGGCCGTCAGACGCGACGCCACGCGCCGCCGCCCGGTTGCCAGATGGCTGCCCCAACCCGTTGGCTAATTGGCCCAATTAATTCGGCATTAAATTCGCATCAGACACGTCGGGTGGGCGCCAGGCGCTGCTGCGGCACTAATGAGCACCACGCCGACGCCGCTTCCGGCCGCGCCCGCCGGCTCTCATGGGTTCCGCCCCCCCCCCTCCCCCTCAACCCGCGCGGCCGAGCGGGACAGCTGCCGGAGCTGCGTCGGTCCCAGAGCTGCGTCGGTCCCGGAGCTGCGTCGGTCCCAGAGCCGCTTTGGTCCCGGAGCTGCGTCGGTCCCGGAGCTGCGTCGGTTCCGGCGCGGGCTCCGGCACCGGCTCCGGGCGGCGCGCCCATCGCCAGCGTGTTTCTACAGCTGGCGCGCGAGCAAAAAGCTCCCAGGCGACGATTGGTATCGTTAGGGCGGTGTCCGTCACAGAGGGGGTCGCTGCGCCCCCGCACGCGGCCAGCGCCAGCGCGCCGGCGCCCCTCCCAGATGCGCCATGTTGCCCCCGCTCGACCAATGGCGTCGGAAGGGTTAGCACCCCCCCCCCCTCGTCCCCATCGAGGGAGGCGCCATTGCTACGCAAAGACGCCACCGGAAGCGTGTCCGTCCACCGGAACAGAGAGGGGGGGGGGGCGTGTGGAGAGGTAGGGCTGTGTGGAGAGGGAGGGTGTGAGATCGACCAAAGGGGAAGCGGAGGGGCGGGAGCAAACTGGGGAGAGTGCGCACGGGCAGAGGGAGAGAACAGGGTGCGGCAATCAGAAGGGCAGGGGTCGCTGGCTGGCGCTCCGGCTTATGCTGAACGCCGGCCGCGAGCGTGGAGGGTATGATAACAGAATGAGCCCGGGCAGAGGCGGCGCTGCCGGATTATGCGTTGGAACGATGACTCACAACCGCGTGAGGGAGCCGTCGCCTTCATAACGACGTGATACGATGGCAAAAGTAGTGTTTGAATGTTAATGTCTTGCCATATCTGACCGGGGCATGATCTGGGTCCTAGCGTATGCTTAGCATGAAGGAAGCAGGCGTTCCTGCCTGATCTCTCATGTTCATACGAACTGCGACACGTGGCGTGACGTCAGATTGCGGAGAGGAGCCGGACCCATTCCCCCACCCGTATCCTTATCCCTTATCGCACGTATGCACTCAGTCAATAGCCGACCCGTAACCATGGAGACGGGAGCCCATTGAGCCTCAGCCAATCACCGCTTCTCGTGACGTCACTGGTCAGGAGATGGCATCCGGGTCACGCAGCGATCTGCCGGTCCCAGGACGCGCGGCCGTTCTCGGAATGCACACGCACGCCTCCGCTGCAATTGGCCAGATCACGCCAGAATTGGTTATACACGAAGCTCTGACGGAAACGGGGAATGATCGAGGTGGGGGAACTGACAGCCTGAGCCTGAGTCGAGTCCGAGTCCGAGTCCGAGTCTGAGGAGCGCAAGCAACCTCCGTCACGCTTGCCGCCAAACGTTGTCGTGCTGCCGGTCGAGGATACTTCACCGCCCAACTGCGCCAAAACGTCCGACCAGGGCGCCAGCCTCCCCCCAACCTAGTCCCCGCTGCAGCGACACTGACGTGGCATCAGCGGGCTCTGCGCTCCTGATGTCACGCCCCTCCCCACAGACCACACCCCTCGTCTCGACCCTGCGACCCGCCGGCGCCCGCCCCGCCCCACCCCCGCGCTCCGGCCGCGCCGCCGAGCCGGCTGGTACCGTACCGCCGCCCCGGCAGCTGAACCGGCCGTCGCGGTGCAGTGTACTGTCTTCTGTGTATAGTGTTGTAGCATTCGCCGGTGCTAGCGCCCGGCCTAGCCGCGTCGTCTCGCGTAGCCTGCATGAGTCGCTCTGTTGTTCACGGGTACGTCGGCAGTCGTGGCGAGGTCGCTGTCGCGCTGTGCGGATAATGATCAGGATGATCTCGATGTTACGCGGTCGGCCGCATCGCCTGCCGGGTCGTTGATCCGCTCGCTGCGGGTCAAGGTCATGACCCCCTGTTGTTCCAGTCAGGGCAGCCGACCGCGCCCCGGCCCACCCCAAACCACCTACCTCAGACAAACCAAACTCAGGGAACGTAGCGGAACAATGGACGCCAGCCGGGTAGAGTCGGGCCCCTCGCGCTCGGCGCGCGTGCGCACAAAATGACGTCACCGGGCGATGCAACGTCAGCGGGTGACGGTGATGTGGTGACGTGATGTGTCTGTCCGACGCCTCCGCCGGACGGATCTCGCGGCTCGAGAGGCGCGGTACGAACTCCCGGTCGTCGAGCGTCGACACGGCCCGCCCGTGCGGACGGAGAC